TGTTTGCAACTACATTTCTATCCACATCAGAATCTTCCTTATATTTATTGAGTAACCAAAACAAAATACAGAAATACAATGGAAGATGGGTCTACAACTCTTTTATATTAGGTCCTATTTCTAAATGTTTGTGTTAAACAAAAACAGCCTCTTAGAATGACATTATAATAAGGAGTTGTTTTCAGTTTCACATATAAAAACAATTTATGCTAAAAAGGCCATTTTAATCTGTTATATTTTAGGATACTATTGAGAGTCCCATTGCTTAAAAAAATGTTTGAAACCACTTTTACTACATCATCTTAAAATTCCCTCTGACTTGTTTATTATGATAATTATAAAATATTTAGTGTTTGAATAAGATTTATATTCTGTGGGTTGCTTTTAGCAGCCAGTGAAAAAGTAACTGAAGCAAGATGTATATTTATCTTCAGAACAGGGAAATCAGGAAGATGGAGTTATCCAATCAGTGTACTCGCCATCTTCCATTGGCCACGTGTAAATATTCATAGACACTGCAATTCTGATTTCTTAATGTCTGAGCAAAAGAGTTATGCTAATTTAACAGTTCTTAGTCTTGAGTTATAAAGCTGTAACTTATAAAGTTATTTTTTAAAAACCTTTTTGTTTTCATTTCTTCTTCCTTTTCTCTTTGAGTTCTAGAACTTTTTCAAACAAAGTGCTTCATCCTTTCCAAATTCTCTAGATCAGAGAGGACCTCCCCTGATACATTTTCATGCAAACTTTACATGTATATGCTTATCTAGGGGAAAGGGTCACACAGTTTCATGAAATTTTCGAGGGATTCTACAAGATGTAAACAGTTGCCTCCATTCTTAATCCTCCTTTTCTTTGGGCTAATATAAATCTTGCCTATGAATCATCCAAAAAGGGATTTTTCTGCGGACACTACAACCAGATCACTGAGAGAAATAAATGCTTGAAAAGGAACATATCCATGTCTGGGCCATTTCTTTCTTCTGGGATAAGCTGACAACACCATGTTAAAATTGAGATTGTGCCCTAATTTAATTTACAGTTGAGTATTAAATATGAGAACATGGAACAAAATCATCCGAAAAAAAAGAAACTGGTGCAAGAGAGAGTGGAGTGATATATTTTATATTCAAATAAGCATCTGAGAAATTTAAATTATGACATCAAATGAACTTAATATATTTCATAATAGTTTAATATTTAATGGAAGGAAATATTTGATTGAGATCAAGAAAATATTGCTCCTTTGATTTTTAAGTCTGTAATCCTATTTTTAAATTAAGGATATATTATAAGGGTTTCTAAAGCAAAAGGGGTCAGAAGCTACTGATTTTCCCTTCTTTCCTACTGAATGCACTTAAATAAACTTTTTAATATGGTGATTTTTCTGGTTTGGTAAGAAATCCAGAAAACTTAGTTAAAGGTGAATGATATTAGGCATTTATCTCACTCACTGGTCTCCATTTTCTTTCAATATCTAAATTAATCAGTATATCCAAATTGTAGGATAAAATCAAGCTATGATTATTGAAAGTCCCTCACAAACTGGGAAGTTTTTTTTAATACTACTTATTTTATTATTATATGTTATAATATACCTCCAACTCCAAAAGTGAGAGATGAGCGGTGAAGACCAAAGAAGGCTACGTATTATAAGATTACTGACTTCACATCATTGATCAGAACAAGCTGGAACATATTTCCTTAACAGTTGCGTGGCTGGGTTTTTAAAAGTTGCCTTTCACTTACGTATCCCTTACTGCCATTAAGCTTCTTCCACCCACAACTTCCTACTTAGTGGAAATAAATTTTGGTTTTGCAACTCACTAATAGTTATTTGGCTAGAAAGTGCTATTACCAAGTTCAGAGGGCCCCAAGCGTCTTCTCTGGTCCATATCAACTCTATTTTTTCCTCTTTTGTTTGGGATGAGAAAGCCTATTTTATGACCTCCATCCCTAGAACAGGTTAAATGCCCAGACTCTGGAAGGCATTTCTGCATAGCGGCCCCCAGAAAACTATTCTAAGCCCCCATACCTCTACCACTACCATATTCAGGAGCCAGGTGCTGGTGATCTGAAATAATCTGCCACCTGCTTTCGGTTGCCTCTTGCTGCATAAAAGAATTTAGCAAGTTAAAACAACCCCAAACGTGTGTCATCCCAACCCACTCCATTTGACCCATCCCCAGTATGGGAACGGCTATATCTACATCAGCCCTGGCAACTCCCCCACTGTCATGTCACAGAGTCTTCTGCAAGATTTCTCTGCCTTAAAATTTTAGCAAATAAAGATTACAACCTGGTGCTTCCCATGGCTTGAAGAGAGAATGTGAGAGACTGGAGAGGGGTCTGGTTTGAGGCCAAAGACAGGATTGTCATCAAGAGTATATGTATAGTAGCGGCTCCAAGGTCATGAGGGCCATCAACTTCAAATCCCATCTGAAACTCCCATGTAAATAAAGATGTCATGTTACCAAATACAGATTCCAGACAAGTCCCTACCACCATTTTCCAACCAGATTGCTTCCTCCTCAATTCTGTCTTACATCGAAATTCTTGAGCCATCCCTGTCTGAAGATAAATTATGTGTTTGCCCAGAGCCTAGCACAGCACTTGAAGTTTTATTACATGAATATAATTGCCCACCAAGAGTGCATTAAAGACTTTAGTCTAAAAATCTTCAAAATATGTTTTTCATGCTAGCCTATTAATTTTGAAGACTGGCTTTAGACCTTACTTGGGGTGAAGGATTACAGAACATGTACTGTGGGCTCTTGGTCTGATCTGTTTTCTATCTCACATGTGATCTTTCTGTCCTTCAATATCCCAGAATTCATTGTTCTGACTGTGCTTAGCACCTTCTGTCCCCACCAGATTGTGAGAACCTTAAGGGCCTGAATTTGGATTTAGTTGATCTTCTTTGATCCTGTACAGTATCTTACAAACAGCAGGTGTTCACGTCAATATTTATTCATTGGGAGCGATTTCCTTATCTGAGGGGCACCCTTTCTGTTGTAAAATGATGTCATAAACTAAATACTGGTTGGCATCTTTCAGGGGAGAAAGTAAAGGGAAAAAGTGGCATGGTATGGTAGAGAGAATGTGAATATCCATTTTGAGCCATTCCCTTATTCTTGAATCTGTGCTTAAAAATAAAGGAGCTTTTCAGATCATTAAAGAACAAAAAGAAAGATGGAAGAAGACCATGAAAGGGTCTAGCCCTAAGTTTGCCATTCAATTAAATGTCCTTGAACTTCTCTCCCTGTTCTGCTCCTCAATTTCCCCTTTTGTAAAATGAGGGTATTGCACCACATGATACCACGATTTCCAATGCACCGAGTCTAACGTATTGTTGCACCTGACTACTTACCTTTAATAACAACATCTGAGAAGAGTAAGGTCTGTTACTGGTCCTCAGTAGCGTCCTCCAAGAGGATGGGTAGGTACCCACGGACATTTTGTCAGTTTTTTATTGCTGTGTGATAAAAACCACACCCCATGCCCAAATGTAGCCCAAATTTAAGGATGGTAAGCAAGAGAACACATGTCTTTTTTTACAGAGCTTCTGAGGGTCAGGAATTCAGGGGTGCCTTAGCCAGGTGGTTCTTGTTTGGGATCTTTTGGGAGTCTGTAGGCAAGAAGCTGGCTGGGGGTGGGGTGCAGTCCAACCTGGAAACCTGACCAGGGCCAAAAGTTCTGCTTCCAAGATAACCACTCACTCGGCAAGAGATTTCAGTTGCTCGCCACACAGAGCTCCCTGTAAGGCTGCTTGAGTGTCATGGTATCACAGTTGCCTTCACCGGTATTGAGCGATCTAAGAGTGAGAGCAAAGAGGAAGCCGCAATCTTTTAATGACCTAGTCTCACAAGTCATACACTGTTAACCTTCCGCCACAGTCTATTTGCGAGAAACAAGTTACTAAATGCAACCCATACTCTAGGGGAGAGAAATGAGTCTCCACCTCCTAAAAAGGGGAGGGTCAAAGAATTTCTCCATTTATTTGTGAATTTGTGTACTTATTCCAAAGCTCCTGCAAACCTGTATTGGTTGGGGTGGGCCAGCCCTGTAAGACAGAGTACGGAAGTTGTAACAACGAACATTTCTAGAGTGACTCACTATTGAGAAAGCATCTCCCCTTGTTTTTTCACTTGGTTGTCACAACAGGCCCGTGGATCAACAGCATTAATATCCCCATTTAGAAATGAGGAAATAGAGGCTTAGGTAACTTTTATAAGGTTGTTCAGTGAGGAAGTTGTAGAGCTGGGAATTGAGCCCAGGTTTTCTGATACAAAACACAAGATCTCTTTACTACCCTAAAAATGGGAACAATGGCAGAAAGGTCTTTGCACAGACAAGTGTCATTGGCAAGTCTGACGGTTCCTTATTACCCACCAATTGTTTTTACTCATTTTTTTAAAATTTAATTTTTTTTACTCATTGTGAACTTACACGCTTCTCCAGTGACTCGAGGCAATTTACAAACAAAATATGTAAGAAAGCAGGAGGAGTGAATAGTTCGAGGCACCAGAGTTTATCAGATTACACTTGGCAATAAATTTGGTTCATATTTTTCTGGCAGCAAAGGTGAAAAGAGAAACATAATCGGCTGCAGAGGTTTTACTTTCTGGCAAGAGCCAGCCTACAAGTTATCATTGCCTGAAGCTAAATTCGAGAAGGAATTTATCACATGGGTCTGTGTAGAGACAATGCCATTTGACATTGTGGTCAGTATCTTCAATCTTGTTTATGCAAAAGGTATTCTCATACCAACCCTCTATATAAACAGAGGTCATATTAAATATTTATTTATTTATTCGGGGGACAGTGCGAGTGGGGGGCGGGGCAGAGAGAGAGAGAGGGACAGATGATCCAAAGGAGGCTCTGTGCTGACAGGCTGACAGCAGTGAGCCCGATGTTTGGCTGGAAGTCACAAAACATGAGATCATGACCTGAGCCAAAGTCTGATGCTCCACGGACTGAGCCACCCAGGTGCCCTGGTCTTACCTCACCTTTAACTTTAATGAATATATTTGAGCAAGAGGATGAGGAAGATGCAGGCCAGGCAAACTTCCTCTAATTTCTTTACCAAATTAAGGGATGGAACTTGGAGAATATACAGGAACAGATGATGAATCTGTCTGATGGACGATCTCTTCAGTATCAGGAGTTGTAAGTGGGAGTTCTTGAATAAACTGCTGAATCTTATTTCTTTGTCTTGACTTCCTGTATCAGCCACCTATAATACAAATGTTCTATATTGTCAGTTAAATTAAGAGTTTGGGATATTTGCTATGTGGGAGCAAGGAATGCTAAAACAACATTGTAGAAAAATGTAGAATGAGTCAGTAAGGACCCTCTGAACTCTAAAGTCCCTTTTTGGACCAAAATGCTATGATTCTGTGGCTTTAAGGGTGAGATTCCAATATGCATTCTTGTCGCCATGGAGAGCCAGCCCACTCTGGCCCGGGTGTGAGAAGCAGTGCAGTCAAAAGCCTTGGCCAATTTTTTTTCCCCCGAAAAGGAATTTCAAATATATCCAAGGTCCTGGGTTAGTGACTGATTGAAACCAAAGCTTTATACTGCATGACATAGGATCCCGGAATAGATAACTTTAGCCTGAAAAAAAGTTAGGGCAGGTGCAAGCAGCTGTCCAATCTTGCCATAAAAGTACTCGAATTTAGCTCCAGTAATAATGTGTTTTCTTTAAATACTCCAGTTCTTTCAAGATTTGTCCAATTAGCTAAAAAAAAAAACGCACCCTCAATGTTCCCCCCAAAGTAGATGACTTGTTGTGCTTTTATTTAGATATTATAGTACTTATAAATGCTTCTGTGTATTCATGGGAATCCTCCTCCCAGAATAGAATTGTAAATTAAATACATAAAAAGCAATAGCCCTTATTTCTGTTTTAAACCAGTCGGTCTTCCTTCAAGGAAGTAGACAACAAAGTAAATAATCCGGCATTTAAAAAAATGAATAGCATTCTTCTTGAACACAGTTTATGTACCCGAGCCAGTAAGTATTCACTTACAAGCTTTCCTTTCTGTCGACTGTCTCTATTTCTATAATACCCGGCTGAGAAGTGTTGCAGGGAGGCAAAATCAATGTGCATGGAAAGAGCAGAGAGAAAAGAGGGTTACTCTTTGTGCAATAATCCAGAGTCCAGAAAAGGAGGCAGACAAGGTAGGGCAGCTACTTGTCAGAACCACTAATGAATTTAGATTCACTTCTAGTCCACAGGTTGTATGTACCAAGTGAGGTCATATGCTCCTCCAACTAACAGGACATTGTTCAATACCGTCTTTGGTTTTGATATCAAGTAGAATTGTAAATATCATTTTCAAGGCACATAGAAAACTTCAGACATTGGAAAACTACTGAAAGACAAAGCTGTCATTTGGAGATAAAGAACAGGTTTAACAATTTTACAACCTTCAGAGCAAGGGGAAGAAATGAAGAAATCAGCTCATGGTGGGGGAAGTTAGTCTGGGAACTGAATAAATATTCACCAGGAAGAAAAGGTGGTGAAGGCCCTTCTTCAACTCAGAGAAAATGAATGGCGAGGCAAATAGGCATCCTGGATTTCAGGAGCAAAAGGGATTTTGAAATATAGCAGGAGCACAGAAGAGAGGATACGGGTAAGGGGAGAAAAGGGGGTAAGAGAAGAGGATGGACGGGGGGACAGGAGCCATACCCCAGAGGGGTCCTTCCACTGCTCAACCCAGGCTCCTGCTCAGGCCCAAGTCAGCTCTCAGTATCCTTTTTCCTTCCTCAATTACAGGCCCCCAGGGCTCTCTACCTTTCCTTCCTTTGAGAGCTATCACCACCCACCTTTTCTCTTGTGTCTGGAAGGTGGGGCCCTCAGCTTGCATTTTGCTTCCTATAAAACAACACACAGCTTTTTTGTTAAAGGGCGTTCAATCCTAAGTGTGATAGAATAACAAAAATAAGAGACATGTATGTGAGAAGTTTTAAATTTGAGTCACATGATTTGATTTACATTTTTAAGAGATCATACCAGGATATCCCATGGAGAATGGACTATATGGGGGTGGGGGGGGTGAATAAAAGTAGAAGAAGGTAGGAAGGTAATTCAGGTACCTAGAGAGAGGTGGTGGTGGCCTGGACTTTGATGTAGTGGGGGAGGGGGTAAAAATGATTAGATGTGGGGCATAGTTTGAGAATAGAACTAATGAGGCTTGTAATGGATTGGAGAGGCTTGATGCTGGAGAGAGATGTATCAAGGAAGAGCCACTGAGCTCTTAGGTGACTGTTGCCCTGTTCACCAAGATTGGCCCTTCTTGGGAATGATCCCTTCTAGCCATTTCCTCTGGACTGACTAGCTCTGGGCTTTGGGATGAAATGCTGTAAATAATTGAAAACATTTAAGTAGGGAAATGACAAGATCGTTTTTCTCTTCTTCTATTGTGCCTACATTTCCTCCATCAGAATGACTTTGTTGGGTGAAAAAGCAAGTATGGCTGCCATCCAGGAAGAAAGGGTGTGAGTGTGTGTGTGTGTGTGTGTGTGTATGTGTGTGTATGTGGACACTCACCTGGGGGAAGAGGAGGGCTTCTGTCTCTCACACAGTGTGGGTTGCTTCATCGGGCGAGTCATTGTCCTTTTGGAAAGCAGCAAGTGGCTGCGATGTGATGGCTGTAGGACAAGAAAACATTGATGAGGTGGGGGTGAGAGGGAATTGCAGACAGCCGCAAAAGAGGTAAAAGAATGTGTAGGGATTCCCGAAGCATGCTGGCCCGGGCTACACCCAGTTCTCAGGGTTGGTTCTTTGAGCTAAGCCGGTCTGCTAGCAGCCCCTTCCATCTCTTTTGGCCATGTTACATCAAAGAATCAGCCACAGGGCTGCTTTGGGGATTGGAGTGACGATCGGGATGTTCAGCAGCTTGGTTCCTGCTCATCCAGTAATCATGTAATTCAAGGATGTTTGAAGGAAAAAAGGGAGCCTCCTAAGGGATTCCCTGCCTCCATAGTCCGGGCCCTTTTGCTGGGTTCACATGCAGAGTGTGATGCTGTAGAGTTGCCCCAAGGGTGAAACTAGAGAAATTGTATAATTGTATAACCACAGTAAATTGTTTCACTCCTGCAGTACTTGTACCCACAATTAAGAAACAGATTCTCTCCCACTTATTTCTTTAAAGAATTCTTAATGTTTATTTTTTATTTATTTATTTATTTATTTATTTATTTATTTTTTTTTAATGTTTTATTTATTTCTAGGAGAGAGAGAGAGAGAGAGAGACAGCGTGAGCAGGGGAGGGTCAGAGAGAGAGAGAGGGAGATACGGACTCTGAAATAGGCTCCAGGCTCTGAGCTGGCAGTCAGCACAGAGCCCGACGCGGGGCTCGAACCCACGAACCGCGAGATCATGACCTAAGCGAAAGTCGGACACTTAACCGACTAAGCCACCCAAGCGCCCCTCTTAATGTTTATTTTTGAGGGAGAAAGCATAAGCAGGGGAGGGGCATAGAGAGAGGCGGGGACAGAGGATCTGAAGCAGGCTCTGCGCTACCGGCAGAGAGACCAATGTGGGGCTCAGACTCAAGGACCATGAGATCATCACTGGAGCTGAAGTCGGGAGCTTAACCGACTGAGCCACCCAGGTGCCCCCAGGTTCTTCCCATGTAGAACTGAGCCCCAACGAGTTCATAAGGGCACAATGGAGAAACAATATTCCCTCGGCCTTCACTGAAGAGACTTCCCTGGGATTTGTCTTAAAGTGGAGTTTAGAGGGACTAATTTGACTTCTCGATGGGCAATTTATGTCATCAGCTGCAGTGGTGTAGCTTCCTGATGTCCTTGTTTCTATAGAATAGAAACATTACTAATATTCTGCACGGCGATCTCTCACTCTAATTACAAAACACAGGGCTGTTGGTCACAACATACCCCACACACCCTATACAACTTCTAACAATACTCTTTTTTTTTTTTTCCAGCCCTAGGTCACTGAGAATAGACTTTAGACCTAAAGGCCATTGTTGAAAGAAGCTGCTAAACATCAAGTTGTGGGTGATGTCCCTGTGTTAGGACAATATTAATCGGGTTCAGTATCAGTCAGGTGGCTTAGCAAAGAAGGCATTTACTTACCCTTCGTTATCCTCCACTCTATTTCATAAGTTTCAAGGAAGCTGCTATATGTGAACTATTAATACATTATTCTTCACATTGATGAGTAACAATTGATTTTATTTTAACCAGTGACATTAAAGTTTATATTCTTTTTTCTTTCTAAGTAGAATATTTTTCTATAGTCCTAATATAAGGTTTGCCTTTATAATTAGCTACCTCCTACACCCTCTCTGAAGATCAAGGTCCACAATAAAAGAAAGAGCTTAACACAGAGGCCATAATTCATTCTGCATCCTGTTAACAGGCAACATCCATTTAAAATAGCAATAGTGTTCTCAAGGTCCTGTTATTACTCAGGCAGGGACTCAAAGTGATCACTTTCTTGGATCACTTTCTTGGCGTACATAGAAGCTTAAATGTAAGATGTGTTCTGTGGGCAACTGTCTGCTTATTTTCTTTCCTAGACAAGTGGTTAACCCGTGTTACATATCCTGTGTTTATAGAATTCCTGAGAGGTTATGTCATAGAAATCACTGGTGTGTGTGTGTGTGTGTGTGTGTGTGTGAGAGAGAGAGAGAGAGAGAGAGAGATTTATAGAGAGAATGTAAACTGAAACATCTTGAGAAATCTATCAGTTGACAGTGGCTGAGAATGCCTGTAGAGAATGCTGGCCTTAACTCACTCATCTGCTGTGTTCACTGTGTTCTGGTTTATAAGCAGTGGATAACGGAACACATCTAAGTGGTAACAGAGAACCAGAGAACAAAGCAACTGAAGTCAGAGGCACCAATTGATTAAGTCTATCATTTGCAAAGTCAAAAAACTTCCTGAAGGTTGTAATCAGATGCAAGAAGGCTTCATTCACATGTTTTTTTTTTTTGTTTTTTGTTTTTTGTTTTAAATATTTTTATTTATTTCTGGGAGAGAGAGAGAGAGAGCGTGAGCAGGGGAGGGTCAGAGAGAGAGGGAGTCACAGACTCCGAAACAGGCTCCAGGCTCTGAGCTGGCAGTCAGCACAGAGCCCGACGCGGGGCTTGAACCCACGAACCGGGAGATCATGACCTAAGTGAAAGTCAGACGCTTAACCGACTAAGCCACCCAGGCGCCCCCATTCACATGTTTTTTAAAAGCCAACTTATTTTGTCCCAGAATCTCCAAGGGTTCTTTAACAAGCATCAACTTCTAAAAGAAACAAAGAGTATAAGAGGAAAAACCCCAGAATTTATTAGAAGGAAAAAGTTCTTAAGGAACTTTTATATTTTTAACATTGCCTTAAATTTTAAAACAGAGTTATTATATTGTTTATCCTCGTAAACATAACTAATATCTTTGGGGGTGGGATGCTATTTTAAATTCAGGGTCTTGTTTCTGATTTTAAAATCACAGTTAGCACAATTACTAAAGAAAATGTTTCTCCTGATATCCAGAAAACAGCTTAATGTTTTAATTTACCTAAACAACCAATGGAACAGTATGGGCCATTTTGAAAACATTCCTTCATCCTTGGAAATAGCATGCTTCTCTTATATTCTTTCATATACTAATCCTTGGAAAAAAAACACACCCTCTCCCATTTTCTATTCAATGTTTGCTATTGTAATCTAAGGAGGGCCGCTTTGAAAAACTGCAAAATTCAGTTTAACCCACAATTGAGTCTTACATCCTGTGGTCTTGGAATTTTAAAATTTCATTCAAAACACACATTATAAACAAAGTCTCCCAAATGACCATCTAGAGAGGAATGTGGCAAAAATCCAGAAACTATTGTAATATTTGGAACTAACATAAGCACAAATAATCAGTGTGTTTTTTCAAGAGGGGATTATGGGTTGCAGTTTCACAAGCCCTACAGGGGATTTGCATGAGATGGGGAAAGCCACATTCCATACTAGTTGTGCGCCTCCGGACGAAGCCAAACCCTTCACAGTGAATGAAGAGGAAGAAGAGGTTTTAAAGGATCTTCTTAATAACTGATATTTGCTCAATATAATCATAATTTGAGGGAACATTCCGGTTGATAAAGTCCTATAAAACTTAAGTTCAAAGCAGCATTCTTGACGAGCCTGTTTTTTAGCACATTCGTTAAGGTATTATTAACTGTGGAGACGGACTCAGGATGAAAACGGCTTGTAGAGAGGACAATGACGGACAAAAACAAAAGTGATGTCACCAAGTCAAAAAAGTCCAAAGTTTAGAGACAAGAACACCGGTGGAGTTATTGACACACAAAGTAATCTAAAAAAGCACTTGTAAGAAGTAAATCTGGGGGCATCTGACTGGCTCAGTTGGAAGAGTATGTGACTCTTGATCTCAGGGTTGTGAGTTCAAGCCCCATGTTGGATGTAGAGGTCACTATCATCATCATCATCATCATCATCATCATCATCTTAAAAAAAACAAAACCCTCAAAAAAAAGTAAATTTGTAAAAATAGTTTAAGTAAAATTAAGACTAACCATTTTAGAAGCATCTAAACTCTAGACTTCTAAGAAAAAATGTAGAACAGAGAAAGTTGTATTGGTGTCATAGAATATGCAACCTGTCCTGTGGAAATACTACATTTCCCTCCCACTTCAAAAGAAAGAAAGAAAGAAAGAAAGAAAGAAAGAAACTCTAAAAAAAAGGAATGAAGCAATGAAATAAATTTATTTATTTATTTATTTTAAAATGTTTGTTTAATTTGAGAGAGAGCCCATGCATGTGCTTGTGGGGGTGGGGCAGAAAGAGAGGGAGAGAATCCCAAGCAAGCTAAGTACTGTCACCACGGAGCCCAACATGGGGCTCAGTCCCATGAACTGTGAAATCATGACCTGACCCAAAATCTAGAGTTGGGGGTGCTTAACTGACTAAGCCACCCAGGAGCCCCTGAAATAAATATACTTTATACCTCAAAAGATAAAAAAAGGGACAGGGCAGGGGAGCAAGGGTCAACTAAGAAGATGGAAAGCAGTCACATGATTATCTTCTTAGCTAAGTTTCTATATAATAATATCTTTAAGTATTTCTCATTTTATACCTTAGTTAATTTTATGAGTCTAATAATTAATAAAGTCTTCTAAACCTGTTTAGAAGAAATCCTTATCTACAGGATAAATTTCATGCCTGTTTCCAATATCATTGTTAACACATCATGTAAATCTGCAAACACTGATGGTATCTAATCTTTTTTTCTGTCCGTAAATAATTGAATGTGAGTAGATTTTACCACCTCCTTAATGTGTCAGTTTCAGTTTTAATACACTATTCTGAGAATTTTTTGTGAACTAATATAGCATTTTCAGCTGTTTTGCTTTTAATCATCATTTCACTGGGAGGAACAAAGGAAAAAGATTTTCTTCATATAAAGTGTATTCATTGTATAATGCACAAACAGGAATTGCATTATCCTGGCAAACAACAAGAAGCTTCTCAGAAAAGATAGTTAAACTGCTTTAAAAATAATTTAGGAATCACTCCCATTACAAATAGATAATTATCTCTGAACATTAGCTCTGATAACATGTGACCTAACAGGCAAAATGAAGTGGGAAGTTATTATATTTTGATTTCTTAACGATGTTGAATTAC